CACACACACACACACACACACACTCATCAGAACGACAACACAAACTCCCAGAACCTGTGAGAAAACACACACACACACTGTCAGCACCAGTGTGTGATTATTCAGCTCATCATTCGGACACCAGCTGAAGTTTGACTCGTGTTTACAGGACAAACACTCATAGATTTGCTTTCCCGCTCAAAACAGCACGACTGAAGGAAGAGTTCAGATTTCAGTTTGCTGAGCACTGAGCACAATGACGATATTCAATCAGAAACGCTCGATTTCTTTACTTCTGCTCACAAACCTGACCTTAAACTACTGATTTGTAATTTGTAATTTTATTTCTAAAGTACAGTTCGGGTCAAAGCAGCTTCACAGTAATAAACAGGCAAACAGCAGCATCAAGCATTTTAATAATAATAAACGTCTGCACACTGTTATTAACCCAAGTTGTATTGTATTGTTTGTTTGTTTAACACGAGGGCAGCTTTTTTAGTGTCATGCTGAAAACCATACTTATATTATTAAAAGAATTAAAACAGAACTAAAGATATTGTTTATATATCTTTACTGAAATATAAACACTACTAACAGCATGCAGACATTTACTCTTTATTTTTCCATGTGGATGAGCACAATCTCTCCATAAGTCACCAATATCATCAGAATGAAACCATTAATAACATCTACAAACGTGACAGAAGACAAGTGACTTTAAAAGAGAAAACTGCTTTTTAACCTCTTAATAAAGTTCTCTATAGAAGCATCAAACCCGTCCCAAACCTGAAACTCAAAGAACAGTTGGATAAAGTTGTTTTTCTATCCTATAAAATGACAGAAACGTGAATTTTCCGTCTTCAAACGCACAATGATCCCCTTAAATGTTCCAATTACTCAGTAATGTGGCCAGCCAGAGCCGCTCATGCATTAAACATGATCATGTGAATCATAGATGAGAGCTATCAACAGCATTTCTGAGTCTGTGATTTACGCTGTGCTACTTTAACATAATTAAGAGCAATTCATTGGCCGTCATCAATAATTCAGACCGAGTGAATCCTGGCCTCCGCAGAGAAGATGTAAACACACGCCGGTGCGATTGAGGCTCGCTGGTGTGACAAACAGCCATCAGTCACGCTCAATGCCGCTCTCATTGGCTTAGTGCAGAAGAGCACATCAGATGTGCTCACAATCACATCAAAACACTGATTCACCTCATAACTCACTGCTTCATCAGAGGACGGCGTTTCTCCTGTTTGTTACGCCAATGCACTTCAACTCAAGCACTTTTCACAATGCATATTGTTTCCAAGCAGCTTCACAGAAAACAAATGTGTCTTCATTACAATTTAAGAGTAGTGCATAAAAAAGAGCTGTAGAAATGCTCCATTCATCAGAGGCGACTGAGTCAAAGTAATGTCCATACGGCATAAATGTACAGTTCATGCAATTAATGCCACATATTCATTAAAGCAATGATTACATGATATAAGGATAATTTGGCCATTTTATGTTGATTCAGAGCTTCATTTCATTCTAGGAGATAAATGAGACAAATTTCATTCTGCTTTCAGTCATTAATATTCACTCATTTTCACAAACATGATCTTTTTTAATGCACCAGGAACAGAATAAAAACACTTTCCCTGAACTTGATTGCTAACCTTAACAAAAAGACGAGAAATAATAGAAACGTGATTAAATCTGAATAATGATGAGGATGCAGGTCAAAACCGTGTCAGGGTTTTATCACAGAAAATTAATCACTATCATAGAATTGGAGAATCCATTGTACTATGATGAACTATAATTAGTGGTTGGCCTTGCCGATATATCGGCCGATATTTTAATTTTTTTTAAATTATCGGCATTAACCAATCATTTTTTTCTGTTTGGACAATATGTCGCAAATGGGAAAGTCTTTATTTTTACAGATTTATTTTTCAATTCTTTACATTTCATTTTCAAATTAAATAATTTAGTAAATATTATGTAAAATAAATACAGGTTTAATTTCAGCAAAAGTCAAACAGAGTGATGATATATCATACATATCGGCTTTTTATCGGCCTCCGTGCTTTCTAAGATCCCGTCAAAACATCCACATCTGCACAAATGCAGCTGATCTTCAGTATTTCTGCATGTAACACATCATCTGAAGAGGACTGAAGCGCACTGATGCTCAGCGGCTGAGGCAGAACCACAGCGCTTCAAGATAAAACACCTGAAATAACGCACCTCAACACAAAGCCGTGTGAATTCAGGGCGCTGATAGTCGTGGAATCTTGGCTCGGTCGGGACGCGTGGCCGCCTGCCATCTCACAGGGAGAACACACTCAACCAACAGCAGACAATGAGATTAACAAACACTATTTTATTCTGAGCCTCCAAACCCAAGCGCTCTCCGCTGAGACCGACTAAACGCTGCCGTCCTGCCCAAACAGATGCCGTTTCATTGTCACGGCCAGACACTCTCAGCTCAAGAAGTCTGTGGGATCGTGTTCATTTGGGAGTACAGTGGTAGAAACGGGCAGAGCGCTGACACGGACAGTCGGACACACCCTGCTCGACCTCCGGGTCACAGGAGAGCGGCCGGCCCCACAAACCCCCGGATGAGGATTCACACTGACCTTCTTCAGTCTGATATGACTGAGACTTGAACCTGTTACTGTGACAAACACAGCTGGAGAGACAGACACACAGTAATACTCAATCATAACTTCAAATGACTGAACCGCATCATTTTCATCAGAATAACCACAGCCCTGAGCTTCACGCAGAACTACAACAACCGCACATTTATTCCGTTGCGATGACATGTATCTCCATCTCAGCCGCTTATTACTGATGAGCGCAATTATTGAAATCAGCAAAGCACGGAGATCACACCCTCATATTCAACACTCGCATTCAGCTGATCAATGACTTTATACGCGTGCATTAGAGAAGTTTAGCGGAGTGACGTCACCACCGCAGATCAAAGTAACGCGGCACAGAAAGAAACAATATATCGCTTTAAACATCATCATCATCATCATAAACAGCGTGCGCGCGGTCGCATGGGAAAGCAACTTCAGTCTCTATTCTCATGTAGGCTACGTACCGCGTGTGACAGCGTCTTCACATCGATAGATCCATGAGAAATCCCGATCACTGATCGATCGATCCGCGGAAACCCCGGAGAAACGGCGAGGCGAACAATGAGCGGCGCATTCAGCTTCACGAGCGAGCGGCTGCTCATCCTATTAGAGATGAAGCTTTACTGAGCTGAGCTCACTCACACACACACACACACACACACAGCAGCTGTCACACACACACACACACACATGCACGCACTCACACACGCACGCAGGGAGGAGCCTCAGACCCCAGAGCTTTTGTTTCAGACGCGCATCTTCAGCAGCTCCAGCACACTGTGTGTGTTTACTTCACAGGTAACGCAGCGCACGCACGTGGACACACTCAGAGACACACGCACACACACTCACACACACTCAGAGACACACACACACACACACACACACACACACATAAATGGAGCGGCTCTCGCTCAACTTCAAGCGCTATTCTCGTGTACGTACCGCGTGTGACAGCGTCTTCACATCGATAGATCCATGAGAAATCCCGATCACTGATCGATCGATCCGCGGAAACCCCGGAGAAACGGCGAGGCGAACAATGAGCGGCGCATTCAGCTTCACGAGCGAGCGGCTGCTCATCCTATTAGAGATGAAGCTTCACTGAGCTGAGCTCACACACACACACACACTCACACACACACTCACACACACACACACACACACACACTCACACACACACTCACACACACACACACACACACACACTCACACACACACTCACACACACACACACACACACAATACTCATACACACACACACACTCAATACTCATACACACACACTCAATACTCATAGACACACACTCAATACTCATACACACACACACTCACTCCTCACACACACACACACACACACACACACACACACACACACACACACACTCACACACACACTCAGAGACACTCACACGGCTATTTCTGTCAGCAACTGTTTAAGCACCTTTTATCCGAGTATTTATTGTCCTCTCTAATCAGTTTTTCCCCTTTCCTCTATTTTTATTTTTTTTTGCATCAATATACATACATAGAATTGTGCATATTAATTAAATATTCATATCTTATATCCTATATATTATTATGTATTAATATATGTATCATACCACACTATATACTAACATTGCATCAATATACATAATTATAATTGTGCATATAAATGGATGATTCGTATCTTACAGCCTACATATTAATATAGTATTAAGATTGCATCAATATACACAATTAAAATTGTGTGGAATATTCTTATCTCATAGGCTATATATTAATATATAGTAATATTGCATCAATAAACAAAATTATCTATATTGATGGAATATTCATATTTTATAGTCTACATTAATAATATTATTTATTAATATTGCCTCAATATACAAAATTAAAATTATGCATATTGATGGAATATTCATATATTTTACCTATATTTTGATATGTACTAATATTGAATCATTATAAATAATTAAAGTATTGCATGTTAATGGAATATTAATATCTTACAGCTTTTATATTAATATATTATATATTAATATGGCATCTATATACACATAAAATTGTGTATATTTATGAATCATTCTTGTCCAAAAAAACAATATATTATTATATTATACTAATATTGCTTCAAAACACAATTAAAATTATGCATATCAATGGAATATTGTTGTGCACATTGATGGAATATTCATATACATTGCATATTGCATCAATTAAGAGAAAATAAAAATAAAAAGGTGACTGGAAATCGTATTGTAATGAAGTAGCCTACATTGAAATTGAATTGTGTGTGTTTGGTGTGAGAGTGTATGTGTGTGTGTGTGAGAGAGAGTGTGTGTGTGTGTGTGTGTGTG